ATCCTTTCTCTTCAAAAAGAACCCAAGGCGGCTGACGTCATTAAAAAGGATAATTTATCAGGGGTTCGGTTCCAAGTCTCATCCCGTGGATACCGAAAAACGTGGAAGTACTGAACCCTCATACATTGCAGGGACTCTGGCTCCCTCTAATGGCCAGTTCAGGTCAATACACTCTGAAAATATGTATACATGTATATTCCAGGAGGGGGGTTCTTAGGCAGTGGATACGTGAATCAGTGGATACCGATCTCGTGGATACGGGGGTCCTACTGTAGTAACACCCACCAGTAAGTCTGAAATGGCATAAAAATATGTTTTTTAAGTTAAAAAGCAATAGGAAAACTGGCTCCTGTCCACGGGAAGGATCTTTCGGTGAAGTGGACGTAATTTTTTCCTCCTCTGTCCTCTCACCTTTAGCAGCCCATGCGGGCCAAGCACTGCCAAACCTGCCAGCACTGCATCCGCCGCTATGACCACCACTGCCCCTGGGTGAAGAACTGCATCGGCGAGCGAAATCATCCCCTCTTCATCATCTATTTGGCCGTTCAGCTCGTGGTGCTTCTCTGGGCTCTGCTGGAGGCTTGGTAAGCGGAACAGCTTCAAGATCCCCCTGACCTGTCCACCCCTTTTGTCTCCTTCGCCGGCAACTTTCTGGCTCAATAACTTAACCACCACAACAACAAAAAGCAGGCAGTGTTGCTAAACATTACACACACACACAAACTGGGTACTGAATGGACCGACCTCGAAAGCACTGAGCAGAGAGGCGGGGCTTGCTTTCAATGCAGAGGAAAGGAAGGAACGATTGGATAGATGGACAGTCACTCCAGCCAAGGAAGGCACCTCCCAGCCACACCTGCTAAAGACAGCCTGCGAGGTTGCAAAAACTCCCCACCGGTTTATCATTCCCTGCAGCGGCTGGTCGCTCTGATTCTACAGGAAAAAAATCCACTCCGGTTTTTCACCCAGACATCAAAAATGTCTGGACCTATTTTTTTTGGGGGGGGGGTCAAGGTCCAGCCCTTTAGAAAAAGTTTAGACCAGAAACCGGAGCGGCTTGACCACCCCCTGCAAAGGTGGGTGTCAGGAAGCCTCCACGGCAATGACAAGCCGTGGTGAAGGATGATGGGAGCTGTGATCCAGCCACATCAAGAGGGGTGCATTTCCTACCCCAGGTCCAAGGTGCATAAGAACTCCAGGGCCACCTTAAAAAATAATAATAATAAATCCCGGTGTTTGTTTACTTATTTTTTTTACAAAGGTCTGGCCTTCATTTCGAGCAGTTCTCCTGGACGTGGCTTCAGCGCAACAGCGTCTTGCTCCTCTCCTTCCTGGTGATCGTCGTCTGCACGGTGGTGGCGGTCCTCCTGCTGGTCTCGCACCTCTACCTGGCCTCGTGCAACACGACCACCTGGGAGTTCATGTCCCGCCACCGCATCTCCTACCTGAGACAGTGCGAGGTGGAGAACCCTTTCGACCAGGGGGTCCTTCTCAACCTCTGGAGGTTCTTCTGCGCCGGCCGGCTCATTGCGTGGGAGAGCCTGTACCTCCGGGAGGGAGGCAGCAATGCACGCCCCCCCCCCAAAATGACACCCAAGCGAAACGAGTCTGAAAGCGAGGGATGCATTTTTCAGAGCGAAGAGGGAGAGAACACGCCTGGTTTTGCCAGCCTGCGGACAAACGTTCTCGACTCTGATCTGGCACGAAGGGCAAACTGCAATCCAGCCAGGGATTCGAACCCAGCACCCGGTTTGACGGGAAGGAGTCTCCAGTAACGGAAGCCATCGGTCGGAAGCCTGGCTGGGGGAGCTGTCAAAACTCTGGTTCCGCGGGAGAGATTGGTTCTCCTTTGCCTTTAACCGGCCATGACCTTAAAGTACTCCACCGAGAGGAATACAAGGTCTCGTAAAGACATTTTTACTGACATTTTTACTAATCTGTGAGCTAAAGACGCCGGCTTTCTCGGTTCTGTTAAAGTGTAATTTCAATTAAAGGTTTTGATTTTGTGTTTCAAATTCCTGGACAAGAAGCCTTTAGATGACGTACAGAAAAGGCAGAGAAACAGTTTTCTAAACTTTGAGCCCTCCGGCAGACACAGTAGGGCCCCCTCCCCATCTGCTGGGTCAGCATCCAGAGATCCGCTGCCTGGATGAATGAATCCAGAGAGATCATTTTCAAGTCCACATACGACCCCCCGTGGATGCTGAAAAATGTGGATGATAGTGAACACTCTCCCCAGCGTGGTCTCTGGCTCCCTCTAGTGGCCAATTTTGGTAATTTCACCTTTAGAAATATATTTCTAGGATTCTTTTAACATCTTATCACCTTTAGAAATATATGTTTCTAGGATTCTTTTAACATTTTTAATATTTCCTGACTGTGGATAACTGAATCAGCGGACACTGATCCTGCAGATGATAAGGCACTGTATTTTAATCCCCTCAAGAAGGTGCTGGCGGTCCTTTGTGTTTTTTCCAGCTGGGAAAATCACGTCACACACTGATTTTCCTGCGAAATACAATTTTAATTTTAAATATGTGGTTAGAGGACGACACAACAGACTTCACACCTTTTGGTACATGTGTGTGTTTCGCTTTTCCTCTCTGGGGTGAGATCGTTCAGCTGTTCTCTTCAGCTCTGCTCATCTTTATATATATATAAACACACAAAAAATTATACATATAATTTTCACTCCACTGCTGGCATTTCATCCAGAGAAATTCACCGAAAACAGTAGATACGCACATTAATGACTTCTATGAACATTTTTCAAATATAAGGGGCTCGCCGGCAGTACTGGATTAAAGCTCCCATCATCCCTGGCCAGAAGGCTGTGGATCATGGGAGCGCTAGCCCAACGATCTAGGACCCAGGAAGGCAGCCTTGGGAACCCAAAAAGACAGGTGGGGGGAGAGCATCGCAGGAGTCACGACTTCCACCAGAGCAGCAATGGGAGAACATTCAAGGCTATTCACAAAGGGAAGACAGAAGTAACGCAGAAGAAGACAAAGGAATCTCTTTCAAACGCCCTCCCCGGTCGAAAAGCTCCGGAATGGCATGCACAATGCACAATGCACAATTCTTCCCTGGAAGCCCAGTGAAGACGCGGCAAGACAAAAGACCCTTTCTCTTGTCATTCCCCCCTCCATGTGGGGCAGAGGCATGAACCGGGGTGACGTCCTCTGCCCCAGCCTGCCGATGCTGCTGGTTAGGGCCCCCAACTGAGCGTGCTGATACCAACATCCGCTTTTTCCCAACCTGGATCCTACAGTCGGTGCTGGACTACAAAACCCAGAAGCCTTGACCCTCTGAAACAGCTGGGGAGCCCCCCTGGGTGGGGAAAAGACCGTCCCGTGCGCCGCAATTGAGCCGGCCGGTTGGATCAGGGGGGCGCACCCCACACCTGTAGATTCCCTCCCTCCTCTCACTGTTTGGCTGTTTCAGGCACCTCCACCCTCCCTTCTTGAAAATAAAGACCCCCCCTGTTTCCGAGATCCATCCTTTATCCTTCCCCAGATTCTGATGGGGTTGCTCAAGTTTTCCAACCCAGTCTCAAAAAACTCCATCCACCCCTTCCCGATCCCTCGGCAGGCACCAAATGACCTCCGTTTCTAGAAAGATCCAGATTTTTCCTTCGCTTAACACCCCCTCCCCATTATTTTCACATTCGTATATATAGCAACAACAGCGGTTGGTATTCTGCATTCCGCATCGCTGTCCCTCTGGATCTCTGCAAACTCTTCTGAAACAAGAACTTCCCCGCCGGTCGTGCATCCCATAAACTCACAACCATCCTCAAACCAGAAAGGTGTCCCACCTTTTCACGAAAATGTGCAAAATGGCCAGCTGGGATAAGATGAAGGAGAAGCTCGGGGGAAATACTAATTTCTTTCTGTTTCTCAACACAACGGGGTCAGACGTTGGTGCCATATGAAAAGCTGATTTTTAAAAATTAATTACTGGCAGGTCTTCGGCATAATATCCGGCTTGGACTTCGACCCTTATCCAACCAGCAGCTGGAAAAGACATGCCACACCCTGCGTGCCCCCCTGAAAAACAATCATCCTTTTTTTGTTTTTAAGACTATCTTAGCCATTCAAAAACAAAAACAACGCTGGCAAAATACCAATCCTTCCACATCCCCCTTTTCCCGAAGCCGGATCGGATGCTCGGCAGCCACGCAGGTGGAGCAGAGAGCAGTGGATTTTTAAAGACAGAGCCTAGGCGGGGCGGGGGGAATCTTCATCATCCTCAGTTTTCTAGAAAGTGTCTGGAGACAAAGTCAAAATCTTTGAACCTGGCCTGTTCCTTCGCGGTCAAAGGCGGGAGATAATCCAGAGGGGTCAAGATGGCCTTCTGGGAGGTAAAGATTTTGTCAAAGTTGCTGACATCGGTGGATCCTTTCAAGGCAGGGACAAACGGGGGCCGGATCCTCCGCGACAGGAAGGCGCCCCAGTCAACCTCCTGAAAAACAAAGAGACAGGCGTGTGTGTGTGTGTTTGAAAGAGCTTCTGTCAACCTCCTGAAAAACAAAGAGACAGGCCAGGGTGTTTGAAAGAGCTTCTTTTGTATTCGTTCTGCGTTACTTCTGTCTTCTCTTTGTGAATAGCCTTGAGCGTTCTCCACTGCTGCTGAGTATTTATCTTACACATGGATGGATTCATGAGATTTTTAACCTCCTTCTGCTTCTATGAGCTTAGGATCAGGTCCATTCTTTCTCCCTGCCATTTCCCCCTGTGATCCAAGAGAGCGAACCTAGTCCAAGACGACATTTATACGGCTGATTTCGCAGCTCACGACGGCCTTGACCTCCGGTCTCATACATGCTAGGCCACATTCTTAAGGTCCCGTCCGGCTGTTTCAAAGTCTTCTCAGCCTCTTGAGGAGGACCATTAGGCAATAACACCTTCCCCTTCTAGGTAGGCCACTATATATATATATATATTTACCTTGAAAAAGGGATGGGTTTTAATCTCTTCTGCGTCGTCAATGCCGGCTCCGAGACGCCGCTCCGGACACTTCTGGAGAAGCTGCCGGGGTGGAGAAGGAAAAAAAAACACATACACAAAATTGGATTCAGAAGGTAACAAGCCCCCCGTGGATGTTGAAACTGTGGATAAGAGTGAATACTATATGTAGCATGGCAAAAGGAAAGGGAGAATCCACAAATATGTATTTTCATCATGTATTACGAGAACTGTCTCCCTCTAGTGGTTAGTTCTGGTAAATACATCATGAAAATAGATATTTCTAGATTATTCCTTTAATATATTTTTATATTTGTGTGGAAAACTTCATGATGTAAGCCGCCTAGAGTGGTTGAAATAACCAGATAGGCAGGGTATAAATAGAATAAATAAATAAAATAAAATAATTTTTTATATTTGTCAGGCAGCGGATAAGCGAAACGTCAGATATCGAACCCACGGATTGGGGCAGTCCTACTGCACAATGAGGGACAATAGAGCGGGGAGGGGGACAGGATGAGTCCCACTCTGAAAGGAAGGCATGCCATAAGAGACCCCTCTGACACCGCCTCCCCATGAGATCCCGGGACCCTCACCTGGCGCAGAAGGGAGGTGGTGGGCACAGAAAGGAATCGTGGGTAACGCACGTCCTCGGTGATGATGCTATCGAAAACCTCCTCTTCGTTGTCACCTGGAAAGGGGGACTGGCAGGATGGAAGGAGAGGCACGTGGTTTTCTTTTGACCCGGCAGCTACACTGCACATTTCCCCCTCCCAAGACTGCACATTTCCCCCCCCTTAGGATTCCACCTTGAAGGTTTAGCTTGAATAAGAAAGACCCGCGCATCAGGATCAAGCCCACTCACCTCTCCCACCAGCATCTCAAAAATCAGCACCCCGAGCCCCCACCAGTCGACGGCCCGGGTGTACGAGGGATCCGTCAAGACTTCCGGCGCCAGGAACTCGGGCGTACCACAAAAGGTGCTGGTTCGGTCTCCGAACCCAATTCCTGTTTGCGGGAAGAAAAAATCGAAGCCCGGGTTTGTTCGCTGAAGTCCGAACCACCCACCTGCCTGCTCACGCTGGATTCGTTCAGAAATAAAAACCGGATTACTTCCCCCCCACCTCAAAAAGGTTCACGGCTTAATCCCCTCACCTTCTTTACAGAGCCCGAAATCACCAATTTTCACAAAACCTTCGGCATCTAAAAGCAAGTTGTCCATTTTCAGGTCCCTGCAGAAAAAATATATAACAATACAGAACAGGTGGAAGATGCTTGTTTAGGGGAGAAATGCCGGCAAAGGTTTGCATTCAGATGTAAAGGTCACAGATGAAATTAAATTTAAATTGATTAAAACTGCAAACTTTTTTTTGCGGCATTTCACTAGTTGTTCAAAGGACCTACCGATAAATGATCTTTTTCTCGTGCAAGAACTGAAGCCCCAAGACCACGCAGGCTGCGTAGAACCTAGGAAAAGAAGGGCTGCTGTTAGACAAGCCGAAAGAACCTGATAAAAACACAGAGGCGGGAATCTTAAGAACAAAACCCGTGTCTATATTTCAGGCAGCGGATAAGCAAAACCGTGGATACAGATCCCGTGGATACAGAGGTTCTCCTGCATTAACATGGGACGACCGAAACCCACCCACCGCGCCTCGTGCTCCGGAAAGTTGTCGAGGCTGATGCGCATCATGAGGTCCCCGCCGGGGGCGTAATCCATGACGAAACAGACGTGGCTCGCGGTCTGGAAGCAGGCGAACAGGTGGACCAGGAACGGGTGTCCGGAGGAGTTGACCACCTCAAAGATGCGCTTCTCGCAATTCAAGCTGCCGGGGGGATCAACGAGGGAACGGCGTCAGAAGCTCAAAAACCACAAACTCAAAACGGACGCAAAATCCTTATTATTTTTTCTCCTTTTCATCACGAGGACTAGAAACCTCATTTTTTTAAAAATGGAAGTTTCAAATCACAGAGTCCCACATTGATTCGAGGGCTTCGACTTCATTATTATTATTATTTTTTAAAGATCACAAACCACAGATGCACGGGAAGTTAAAAATTAATTTCTCTCTTTATTTCTTTATTTCTTTCCCCTACACCCACATGGCGGTCAACGGTGGATGTTCGAAATCTCACCAGGTGAGCAGCGGCCGCATCAAACTCCGGGCCGGGGGTGTGTGTGTGTCTCACCTGTCCACATCGTCTCGGCTCAGAATCTCGTGCTTCTTCAGCGCTTTGATGGCGCAGAGCTTTCCCGAGGCTTTGTGATGAGCCAGCAGCACCTGAAAGACAATCGCCATTCAAGGTCCTTGGCAAGCTTTTTAAAACCCTCCTGCTTCTGGGGCCTGCAGGCACACGCTCGCTCGCGTGCCTCCGTGCGCCTTCTAAGAAAAGACCGCCGTTTACGACACAGTGTTTGGATTGTGATCATATTTGGGTTTCTGTTCTCCCCACCCACGACTCCAAGGGCAAATGCAGTAGGGCCACGGGAGTGGCAGGAAACCAGTTCCAACCCCTCCCCACCCTGTGGATGTTGGGAACAGTGGATAAAAGGAAACACTTCCTTCCAGTTTCTCTGATGTCCATGCATGGCTGAGAGAGAGAACCCTAATCTTTCTATCTTTCTTTCTTTCTTTCTTTCTTTCTTTCTTTCTTTCTTTCTTTCTTTCTATCTATCTATCTATCTATCTATCTATCTATCTATCTAATCTATCTATCTATCTGCAAATACATATTTTACAGTAGAACCCTCGTATCTGCAGGATCAGTATCCACTGACTCTCATTCCACACTCTGAAAATATTAAGAGAACAATTCTCAGACTGTGGAAGGAGAGGATTAGTGGATACTGATCCCGTGTATACAGGCGTCCTGCTGTAAAATCATCTTCATCATCTTCATCATCATCATCATCATCATCATCATCATCAATCGTAGTAGTAGCTTTATTTATATGCCACATTTCTCCCAAAAAGGGACCCAAAGCTGCTCACAACATTAAAATTCACACAACTTAAAAACACAATAAATTAAATATTAAAAGATGAATTAAACAATGTATGATTTAAAATACAATTAAAATATTAAAACATGAAAACGTTAAAAAGATTAAAATAGAAATGGTTAAAATTAAAACATTTTAAAAATAAAACTAAAAAGCACTAAGCACACATTTCACAAGGGAGCCCAACAATCCATTATAAAGTGGGGTGTTTGTGTGTGTAGGGGGGGGAGGGAGGTCCCCAAAGGCCTTACCTTGCCGAAGTGCCCACGTCCCAAGACGGCGATGCAGGAGAAGCTGTTGAAACCAAGTGTCTTCTTTCTTGGGAAGAGAAAAGCAGAATAAAAGGAGATGAAAAGGGGGCTCCGAGCAGGGACTCCGGGCCAAGAAACGCGCGGAAAAGTGAGGCTTCTCCGAGAAAGAAAAAGTAGACCAGGTAGAAGGGTTGCAGAGAGAGATCTCCTCCGGGTTTCAGTCCGAACTTTGCAGGAACTTCAGCACAGAAGTCGAGCACACCGGTCGCCCAAAACTCAACGTCCCATCCTCCCCACCACCAGTCTTAAGGAAACGACGGCTGTCTCCGTAGTCGAAGAGAGCCGCCTGTGTTCCCGTCCGTAGCCGCTCGGTTTCACCGAGTCTAATCCCCGCCCACCCCAAAAAGGATTCGTAGTTCTTGCCGCTTTCGAGCAAGAGGGAATCGGAAACTCTTGCCATGCGATGGAAAGCTGTCGAATGTCCAAAGAACCCTCGTCATCACTTGGAGACGGGAAACAAGGCTTTGACTCCTTCTGAGTTAAGCAGAAAAGCTCGAGAAGTCAAACAGCAAGAAGAGAAAAATGGGAAAATGCCAGGGAGGTTGTATGACTGGGGTGGGCAACAGACCCCCCCCAACTTCATCTTTAGAAATATAAGATTTCTAGAATTTTTCTCTTAATATTATTAATATTTTCACGCTGTGGATCAGCGAATCAGCAGATACTGATCCCGCGGATACTGGGGTCCTGCATTAAATCATGGCCTCTTCTGCTTTGCCTCTCACCTGGCCGGGACCCGATTGGCTTCTTGCGTCCATTCGTCTCCGGGCAGCTTCTTCCGACTCTAAAAACGGGGGAAACGGAAGAACTGGTTGACATGAACGAGGATTGCTGAAATCCTAGGGGACCGTTCGATGACGTTAGTAAATAAATAACTTTAAAAACGATT